TGTCTGGTGGGCCTGCGCACAGCAGGCCATGCGCCACCATCCCCGCCGTCCCTGTCAAAAACCACTTGACAGTGATCGCGGGGTGGCTGCGCACTATCCAGGTTTAGCCGCGAGGTGCATATTGTATAGCTTTTTGTCAGGGATGGTAGCCCTGCGCGCAGCAGACAATGTGCTGACACCCCCGCCGTCCTCGTCAAAAACAATACAAAGTGCTCGCGGGCCTCACGAATATGACTCATGACAGGGGTGGTTTGGGGGGGCCGCATCGGGTTGGCCGCGCAAGTTCCAAATGTGGAGGCCAAGTGCGATTTGCTGTTTTTTGACGGGGTTGTGGGGGGGTGATCTTGGTTCCTGGTTGGCCGCCGGTCGCCTGGGGGAGGGGGTGTGTAATCATAGGGAACAGAGATAAGCCCTTCCCCCGATTTGGGGGAAGGATGGGTGGTGGCAGGGAACTCAGTTAGACCACTCAGCCCAGATGGTTGGTGGGATTGACACGCGTCGTGGTGGGTTTGTACAAACCGAAGCACTGGCACGGTGAACCGAAGTTCTGGAACGATGCCATGAATACCCAGTGTGGTCCACATGTAATACGACAGCGCTACAACATGACGGGTTGCATGGGTGTGGACATTCCCAACACGCTGTGGACCCAATACGGTGTGGATCGGCATGGGCGTGCGTGGCGGATTTAGAAGAGGAGTAAACCTTGACGACACTGTAGTATGAGTAGACGCACGTTTGCAGAGATAGAAGTATGAGTGGAAGTGGATTGGGAGGGGTAGGTTCGTGTAGCAGCGACAGTCGAATAATCACTATGATGTGGCTTGAACAGAGAGCATCCGAGAGGCCTAACACTACAGTAGAAGAGCAACCTGACCCTGCTCACCTGCAGGCATCATCATCACCAGCAGCAGCAGCAGCAGCAGCAGACCATGTAGTAGAACTCGCAGAACTGACTACCATGCTCTTCTCCAAGTCCTTCGGCTTGAATCGCTCTTTCCTCCACTTGGCGACGCGGAGATCATCTGCCAGCCTGGAGCCCTGAGGCATGGAGGGCTTAGCGGATTCAAGGTCACACTTGATAGGCGCTGCACCCTGCTGACGTTTTCCCTTTCGCTCTCAATTCACCTGGCGTCTTCTCATCCGTGCTGTGCCATGTTTGCAGTGCTCGTGCGCGTTTCAAGCCGGCTGGTTTTCTTTGTGACGTGCTACTGCAGCGATGTTTCGCTGATTTTCATATCCTTCCCGAGTGCATAGCGGGCGAGCATTTTTGACAATTTCTCTTGCAGTGAAGGGCTGGAAAAAACACGCAGCATTCCGTAATCTCGCCCGCGTGCGCGTTCTGGCCCGCTGCCGCTGCTGTTTCGTGTCTTTCATAGAGTAGGGTACGTCTTGGCCTGCCGTCTCGGGACCCTCGCAGCAGCATCTCAGGACCCTCCCAGCAGCCTCCAGCGAGCCTCTCAGGAGCCTCCCAATCGCCCCGCATGAGCCTCTCAGCAGCCTTTCAGGAGCTTCTCAGGACCCCCCTCGGATCGCCTCCCGGGAGCCTCTCAGGACCCTCCTAGCATCCTGCTAGTGCGGTGCTTTGTTGGGATCATGTTGTGCGCCAGCCCCGAGCTTAATGAAGCAGCTTGCAGAACAGCCAGCTCAATTTCGCAACCCTGGCTGTTCAGAAGGGGAGCTTAAACATGCTTCCCAACAGGCGGGCCTGGCCTGCGTAGCTGATTGCTTCAGTGGCGAGGATTTTTGCCTCGTTGCCCCTCCTTGTTCTCCTCGTCTGCTGCTGCCTGGCAGTAAGCACGGGATGATAAGGAAGACGTCGAAGAGGACGGGGAGGAACAGGAGCAGTAGCAGGAGCAAAAACATCAGGAACACGAGCAGTATCAGGAACATGTGCAATACCAGGCGCAGGCGCAGGATCAGGAGGAGGAGGAGGAGGAGGAGGAGGAGGAGGAGGAGGAGGAGGAGGAGAGGAGGAGAGGAGGAGGAGAGGAAAAGGGAAGGAGGAGTGGTGGGGGAGGAGGAGGAGGAAGACAGGGGAGCAGGAGTGGGAGGAGGAGAGAGGAGGAGGAGGAGGAGGGGAGGAGGAGGAGGAGGAGGGAGGAGGAGAGGAGGAGTAGGAGGGAGCAGGGGAGGAGGAGGAGGAGGAGGATCAGGGAGGAGTAGAGGAGCAGGGGGAGGAGAGCAGGGGGAGGAGCAGGAGGAGGAGCAGGAGAGAGCAGGAGGAGGAGGAGCAGGATGAGCAGGAGGAGGAGGAGGAGGAGGAGGAGGAGCAGGAGGAGTATGAGCAGGAGAGGAGGAGGAGAGGAGGAGGAGGAGGAGGAGAGGAGGAAGGAGGAGGAGGAGGAGCAGAAGCAGGAGCAGGAGCAGGAGGAGGAGCTCGAGGAGGAGCAGGATAATGAGGAGGAGGGGGAGGAGGATGAGGAGGAGGAGGAGCAGGATGAGGAGGAGGAGGTTCACGAGCAGGAGCAGAAGGAGGAGCAGGAGGAGGGACATGAGG